GTGAAAATTTCATGTCATTAGCACCTCTAGTAATATATTTACTGAGAAAAATGGTGACGTGTTCAATACTTATTTTACCCGCTGTATTATTGGTCCGATATTAGCATTAAAAAATGTAAAATCTCTACTTTTCGGTAACAGTTTTTCTTCTGATGACAAAAGCCCGATAAATTAACGCCTGGATTTGACCAAAATGTGTCAATAAATGCTTGTGGTCCAGAGACGTTCACCAGCCTGCAATTGATGATAGACTGATTATCTCAGGGAGAACATGATCCAAACTACTGTTTGAGACAAAATGTTAAAAAGAAATATGGCACTTTGTCCATAACTTCAGTGAAATGATTTTTATTTTGTGCAGACATTGTTTCCCTTTGGAATGAATCCAGTGGGGTATCAAAAAGCAGGCATAATGTCCCTGACAGGAAACATGTGATGTCACCTTAATATCGGTTTGTAATATCAGTTAATATCGAAATCGAAAATTAAGTGTTGAACAACATTGAAATATCGAATATCGGCAAAAAGTCAATATCGAGCATCTCTAGTTCTTGTATTAGTTTTTTAAGTAATTTGAATAAACATATTTGCCAATGCATCCTCCAGCTTATGATGTTCCTGTGAGTTAACTAACCAGCAGGTATTTGGTCACTAGTTAAAGCGTCTGAGGTGTAGAAAAAAAACACGTCTTCTTGTTGAAGTGGAACTGCTGTTTGCCCGGATAAAGATGACTCTTGAAACAGGCTGGTTTGAACAGCAAGCACCTTTATTTTAGCAGTTCAAGGAGATACAGCCTAAAACCAAATTGTGGCCTCCAACCAAATAATTTTGCCAAGTAAGAAAGATGGAGAACGAAGGCCAAGAGCGGGGGTGTACAGGGCTCTTTATACATTCGACAGATGTACATAAATCTTGTCACGGTATACCTCAAGCGTTCTTGTGTCCTAATATGGTGATGTGTGTGGAACTCTGAAGCTGGATGGCTGATGGACCACACGTCTGCATTCCTGAGACAAACCCCACTCTTAGGACACTACACGTCCATTATAGCAACACCCTCCTAAAATAATTGTGTAACTCCTTTTTGCAAACTAAAATCTTGGACGATTATTTTAGGACGACGATAATATGTGTCTCCAACCTGCTGCTACCTGTTGATTGTTTTTCACGGGAGCTACTGAGAGAAGCTAACGTGTCAAGATAGTCATAGTTAGCATCTTGTGTGAGTTTGATTCATGCAGTTTTTCCCTTGAGAAGTATTCCTCCTGTTTTATCACTTGTTTCCACTACAAAACACTTGATTTTATTTTTCTCACAGTCATTTTCAAAGAAATCCCAAAGTGGACGTCACTGTTTTCTCCTAACTTTTGTTGTCATTTGGCAGGTGATGCTGAGCAGCAGATTGTAAACAAGTGTTGTTACAGACCATGAGGTGCTGTAAGCTGCCCGCAGCTAATGTGAAACTACTCAATTTGAAAAAATAAAATATAATAAATAAGATCAAATGGCTCCAAACAAATAGACAAACACTAAAACTAAGGATATTCTATCTATAATTTAGTTAGTTTTATAAAAATATTATACAGTTTTAGCTAGTTGTCGTTTTTCATTTTATTACAGTTTTTATTTATTTTATTAACGAAAATGTTTTTTCAATTTCAGTTTTCGTTATTTAGTTAGTTTTAGTGAACTATAATAACCCTGGCGGGGTGGAGGTGGGGTGAACACGCCTTTAGACCTGGATCTGTGAGATGATTGGTTCGGTGAGGCGAGGATCTGATGCTGATTGGCTGCAGCTGGGAGCGGGACGCAGTGACTGGATGGAGCAGGTGAGCTGCAGAGAGTCTTTCAGTTTCAGTTTGCATATAAGCCTCATCTCTGATGACCCTCACCTCGGTCCAGAGTCCTCCCGCTCATGCCGGAGCTCCAGTCACTCCAGAAGCCGGACTCTCCTCTGCAGGCCACAGCTGCTGTGTACACATTAAAGGGCAGCAGGTTTCTGATGGTGTAGTTCACGTTCTGATCTGCATGTGCAGAAACAACATCTGCTATCTGAAGAAAAAGGAAAAAAAAGATGATTATTTACAGAAATTACTTTAAATTTCCACATCTGCAGGTTTGAAACACTAAAAAACTAATTTAATTGTCCCCAAATAAATAAAATCCAAAGTAATCCAACAATGTGACCTTTGACCCCCTCTTCCCTCCATCCACCACATGAGGACCTGGGGTCTCATTTATAAAGGATTGCGTGGAAACCATACTAAAAGTAAACGTACGGCCAAAAGGCGGAAATGGCATACGCCAAAAAAATTCAGAGTTATAAAACAGTACGTACGCATGTTTCTGCGCATCTTTCCTTTATAAATCACAGCCGCACATCAGAGTTTGTGCACGAGGTCCCGCCACAGATTCTACCCTCTACACGCCCACACTCAACCATAAACAGTCAATGTAAAGTACCTCATGAATGTTAAGATGTATTTAAATCAGTCAGCTGATCAGTGTCAACAAAAGTGATTGGTTCAGACGCTCCGTCGTGCGTCTGGAG